ATTTGAGACGGAGGAATTGTAGGGGGAAATAAGGGTTTTTAAAACACGTCTTTTTTGGAGTGGATTTTTTGGTCACAACTCCACATAAACACAATACCAAAAAAAAAAGTTCAAGTCAGATGTGCATCTGATCTTGTAAGCACACAGAATACTGCCGTCACCATGTGTTTGGTTCTTTGTAAGTGAGCGGGTCACTCCCATTTCTCAGGGAAACCCAGATATCAGATGCTTTAATCATTTGCAAATATTTACTGAAGGCCTAACAGTGTGCCCAGGCAACCTCATTCCGTAACAAATTCAGTGACTGCTGCGGATTCCACATAAGCTCTCAGTGCCTGTGGGGGGCAGACTCTCCCACTTTCCTGAGCCCCTCCTCAGTAGCTACCAGCTTTGCCTGGATCGGGCTCCGATGGAGACCTACGAGTGGGAGCGGGGCACATTTCCTTGGCTTCCTTTATCATTAGATTTGCAGGCCTTTTATTCTCTACACAGATACCGTCGGAAATGCAGTTGCAGTGATTACAATCTGTCATCTGATAGTGGTCAACCTGTAACCAAAGCATACGAAGGGCTGATGTGGGAGGACACAAGCACTTGTGAGATAATTTTCGGCATTCTGAAGTTCTCCCATAAGCTCCGACTTGTGAAATTGACCACATGAAAAATGTGCCCCAGGATCAAAGTGTTAGTCGTCAATTTTTTACACTTGCAATTCAGAATGCACACCCACACTGCATGCTCCAAGCTAAACGCTGAATGGAAATTCAGCTTTTAAAAAAAAGAAAACCTTTCACCATAGAAGGGAAGAGGTTAAAGCAACCAAGCACTAGCAACACTTCATTTGCTTCCTTCATACAGATAAGGCTTGGGTAAGTATCCTGACTGTCCTTTTGATCATGGAGTTTCCAGGAAAACGGGGGAGGGCGGCAGGAGGGGGGCCTTAGTAACAATGGCTCTGGGGCATCTTAAATGATCTTACATGAATGGCAAGAAAGTTCATTCCCACTGGTGTGCTGATAGGTAACTGATTATGCTACATTAATTTGGGAGTTTTCCAGAAGAGAAGGATGAATCTATCTGAAAGGGTTTTTGTTTTGTTTGCATAAAATCATCAGCATTCCACTTCATATAAACAACAGTTTTTACTCAGTGAAAACAGGTCCAAAATTAAGGGGAGATGCTCACAGCTTCAGGATTGGCTTGTTCTTTTTCTCATTTCAGCCACCCTTTCCTATAACACCTCTGCCTCCAGCCACAGCAGCTTCCTCGATTTCCAAAAAGCCCTGTGAGGTAGCAATGTGCTAATTTCATCAACTCGGTAATGTTTAGAAGGGAACATCAAAGATTGTTTTACTTAACTGTGTCAGAAAAACCAGTTCAATGACTGGATAAAGATTCTTTATTTTCAAACAAGACTCTTAAGGGGGTGGGGGGACTGGATGATTTCTCTCCCCTCCCCCATCCCTAAGAGTAAGACAGCTGACTTATAAGTATTACTTTCACATTTTCCTAAGAAGGCCATAAAGGATGCCCATCAGGACTAAAGCATGTCCATGCAAATACAGAGACACAGCTTAGAGGGAGAGGCACCAGACATCAATCATGGATCCTCAGATTCTGACATCTCCAAACGCACACGGCAGAGCCTATCCATCTGAAGTGTTTCCAGCGTCAGCCTCCTGGATGTAATCTAATTAGGGTACAAAACATATCAGAATCAAAGAGGAGGCTTTCACTCTGAGGACGCAGAGAGAGAAGAAATCAATAAAAAAGATTTTTTTTAACTTTCTGCTGAAGAGCTTAAGAATGTAAAATACATAAAATGTTAACCCTCTCAGGATATATATTTTATATCCTGTAGGAGGCACTTACATTCTCAGCGATTATCGAAAAAATACCCAATGCTTACATGAACTAGGTGTCAGATGTGCTTTAAAATGAGGCGGTGTTGGGAAGGATATGGGGGTATGAAAGAGGGAAGACTGCGTTGATCATTGTAGCTGGGTGGGGGGGTCCCTAGGGGTCCATTACATTTCCCTGTATTATTCCATTATAGAGTATTTTTAAGAGATGCATGAAAAGAATGTACTGTGTATGCACTATATCGTGTTTAATAACACTTCTGCTCTGGAAAGTGGAAATATCGCTTCAAACACTAACAGCCACGCGCGTCCCACACCTGCCATACTTTTTGGTTGGGAGACTACACGCCACTGTTTCAGATCCGCTGGGACAAACCCATCCCAAACCCTCCCAAGTTACAGCCTCTGAGGACAGCAGCGAGAGCTCAAATGCAACTGAAAAGTTAGTGAGTTTCTGAGAAACAAACAAAATTACTAACCAGGGATTTTGGTTAAAATCTCACAGACCCTAATCCAATACCAGAAGCATTTTTTATTCCCTCGTGTCAAGCAGTAAA